CGAAGAGTGATGCACATTGCAAGACCTCCCAGGCATTCCGACCCCCCTCAGTTCGCTTCGGAAGCTAAGCTAAACCCAGTCTTTGAAAAAAGAACTGCTTCTGGGCGGGCGAGAAAGGGCGTCATCCCCTCTTCCAGGAGGATGTTTGGGTCGTACCGAACCTGAGAGGGTGGCAGGTCTCCGGTGGCGTCGTCGGTCGTCTCCAGCGGTCGGTGCGGGTAGGACGCGGTACGGTTGGGACAGGGCCATGGCTGACAGGGCCATGGCTAGGCGCCGGGAGACCATAGGGATTACCAGGGATTAGGTCCGGGTGCCATGACCCAACAGGCACATTCAGAAAGACATCATCTGCTTGGGAAGGCGAGGGCGGTGGGAGACCCAACAGAACTTGAGGGCTCGAATTCGGTGGGGGGGTCAGATCGGCGGAAAGCTTCTAGAGTCGGAGTGGTTTCAACTTAATGACTCAAACAAAATCATGTTGCCTCACTTCCCTAGGGATCCAAGTACCTTCTCAGACGGTGTTTGGGGTGGGTTTGGAGGGTCCAGGTCCCTTCTGAGAAGGTACTTGGATCCCTACATGCACAAAAACATACGTTAATACATATACATTCTTATGTACGTTTAGGTGCGTGTAATATACATGCTACACTACTTCATACTGCTTCTACTATTCTATCTCGAGGGCTCCCCCCACAGGGGAGCGATCCGAAGGTCTTCTGAAGGCCTTGAAAACTGTGGCCAATAGGCCTACAACGACGTAACAATCCGTGGTCGTTATCTAATCCGGTGTTCTCTCATCCCCAACATCCATATGAAACACCTCACCAAACCTTTCCTTATTATGGGTACTCAGCAGGGGTCTCAGCAGGTATGAAACTGAACAAGTGGTGTCTTAGTTATAATATGGGTAACATCTCAACGTGCGCATCCACCCATGGAAAAAAGGAACACACATTGTGTTGCAAAGTCTTTGGACAGGCTAAAGTCTTTTAGAACCCGACTGACCGTTGTTTTGCATCTCCTTTTTTGACACAAGAAGTCAAGTTTGCCTCCCATCCCGTCCCATCCCTTACAGCTAGGGTCGCCCGCTCCCCACTCCCCACCATCCTGAACAAGGCACCGGCGTCCCTTCAAGTATTGCCGGTGCATGATGAAGCTTACCGTGCCAAAGGCGCTCAAGCCATAAATCGCACCTGGCGAACGGCGGACGCCTTGGAGGACGCCTTCACAGTGATTCGGTGGCCGTGCGGAACTGCGCTTTAGCTCTGTGACCAGGACGATGTTTGAGGATGAAAATGGATGAAACATCATGGGGACGTCGGGTCCCTCCGTTTCATGGTGTCGGGTTCTTGGGACAGATGGTGCAAACTTCTGTGATGAGTGCGGGACCTTTGGGCAGGCAATCCATGCTTTTGGTGCAAAGAACTGGCACAAGATTTGGTAGAGAAGGAAATGGGAGGGACTGAACAAAAGAAAACATTGCAAGGACCACACATCCTTTTCCCCTATCGCCCCCATTGTATTTTACACCTCAAAGATGTAACCCTACCAGTCCAAGGACCAAGCCAAACCTGGTCCTTGATGGTCCTTGACCTCATTGCTGTGTTTGCATCACTGGATCCAGTCATCCAGTCAAAAGAGGTCCTTGAACTGTAGGTTTGGTAGTGACATCCTATTCTTTTCGGTGGCTCTCTTTTTCCAGGTTCGAGATGCTTCATAAAGGCTCTCTCCACGCTCGCTTTACACGACCAAACCAAATGACCACTGGACTCGTTCTGCCTCCGCCCGGGGACTTCCACATGCTGAACATCAGCCCCATAAAGCCACTGTCGCCTCCGCCCGAGTGGTCAGACCGCAATGCGACCGCGTCGGCAAGTCGCGGGGGACGGGGGCTATACAGTATGCTTACGCAGCTGGTCCGAGCGCACCCGGGTATAGTCTTATGCAAAGGTGGACCGAACTGAAGTAATGTCAACCAGGGTCTTGACCCACAGCGTTTGTGCGGCACGAGACCCTTGGGTCTGTGGATGTAGGGTCCAGTATTCGAGTGGTTTTTGCAGCTGGTGCATGCTGCTTAGGAGGACCTTCATGTCACGGCCAACATGAAGAAGCGCCTCTTTGAAGAATCTCTGTAAAACCGCTGCTGGGAGACTTAAAGTCTCTACTTGTCTCTATACACACGCCATATCACGCTATTATAGTACTTTCCAGAAAATTCTCCCCATGCTGCGGTTGCTCGGCTGAACATCTAGCTGCCGATTTTAGCAATCAAACATCGTCTGTGGCCCACCATCATAAAGGTTCCATCAACTCAATCAACTGTCCGTAACGCCATAAAAAGCTATAACATCCATAAAGGGTTATAATTTTGAGCGATCTTGAGATGTAGTGTTGGTGTTGCGGTTCAGGCTTTCTCCCACTCCATGAGTCGACACCAAGCATGTCCAAGCCACCCCCACCCTCCAACTCGGCTCTGGAGCTTCCTGCACCGAACCCAAACCGACACAACGCGTGCGCATCGGCGAACAAGGCCTGACACCATCTTCTCGGCATACTCGGGCATGGAGGCCTGCATGATCATCAGCACCAAGGTAAGGAGACACAAGGTGAGCCCTAACCTGCCGCGAAGGCTGCGGCGGAAGGTGGGTTTTTACAGCGCGTGACGTCGGGGGAAGCAGCAGGTCACCAGGCGAGAAAAGTTTTTAGCGTCCTTGATATATGTGCCAGTGATCGAGAACGAAGGGTGGAAAGGTGGCCCGAGTTGAAAGGTTCCGTTCGAACCCCAACATGTCCCAACCCTTACGGACCCTGTTGCAGGCCAACTTCTATGTCTTCAAAAGCCAACTTCAACGGAGATCCCTTGGCAATTAGAGGGATTGGTCGGAACCCCAAAGGAGTCCTACGCGATCTACATGTGATGAATCCTGAGCAGCTTCGAGCGACTTCCGAGCGACCTCGTGAAACCAGTTCCGCAGTTTTGATACACAACCCTTGGAATCCCTTGGAAACCAAATCCTTCGTGGAAATCAGTGGAACACCACCTTATAAGCTTAGGCTTAGGTGGTGCTACCACCACACTTTCATGTCCACGGTCGGTTCGTTATAACGAGGACCACGTCGGGTGAACGTACATGACGGGGTCCCAGGTCTCGACTCATAGGAGTTGGTCCGATGAGGACCACGTCGAGTGTTGTGATCCCAGAGGCTCCGGACTGCCATAGGAAGCCGGGCTGGTGCCGGGGTCAATGGATCGGCATATATTCCATCACTACTATATGGGAATGTTCGATCCGTTTCCCTGTCGTCACAGTCTGGACCACTATCATACCTGTCATGTCATACCTGGCGCCCTGTGTTCTCGAAATTCCCGTGAAAAGGTGACTGTGTTCTCTCCCCGGATCCCCCTTCACATCGGCTCCGGTGCCGGCTGCCGAGAGGCACGATGCAGAGCATCGAGCAGACTAACCACGCGAAGCGCCATCCCGAAGCTTCCGTACTGAGGAAGTACCTAAGTGGCAAACCGGCAGACGACCAACCGCGGTGGAGACCGCGGTGGAATAAGTGTTCTCACACGCGCGCCGTAAAGCCTCAAGGTCCGCACCGCGGGGGTCAGAGTCCAGCAAAAGCCTTGCCCTGGGGCTCCAGTCGTACTTCCGAAGGTGAGACTGGACCCCTCTGGCACCCGAGTCCCACCTTCTGAAGTAGGACTGGAGCCCTAAGCATAGGGTTGAGTGCCCAACACGGAGTCCCAAAAAGGGTGGTTGGGCCATGGTGCCAATTGGTTCAAAATTGTTCAATGCGTTGGTGCAGAATGTTTGGCCACCGGGGCCCTTGTTTCAGTGGTCGGTGTTGGAACTTGGGAAAGTTCCCAAGCGGACTTTGATTCAAATACTGGGTGTTTTTGAGACAGAATGCGAATGGCGAGGACCAAAGACAAGCCAGGAGCAACTGTTCAGCCTCAAACAAGCAACCTTAGAACCAACAGCAAGAATCAGGATTGCCAGATTTTGACCCTATATACAGCCAAATCAATATCCAAGCCAAGCGTTCACTGGCGTTCACCCTCAGAACAATTATCAACTGAACTAAAATGACAAGCCTATAGAACGCTAATTTGTGCGGGTGCATATGGGAATTGAACACCAAACCGGTTTTAGTCCATGTTTGCTCTTCCTCCCTCCTAAAATTCACACCGCACCGCAGAGGCCTCAAGAGCACTCTCATTTCCCCTTCCACTCTCTTGTCCATCTCTTTTCCACTCTCACCGCACCGGTGGGATTTCGGAGGAACCGCCACAGACCGGAGGCGGCTGAGACCGAGACACGGTTGGGTCAGGCGCCGGAGGTAGCCACGGTGCTTCCGCGCGCGGCCGCCGCCGTCGCTGTTGTTCTCTCCACTCTTGCAGGAGCGGCAGGGCATGCGGCAGCCCACCTTGACCTCGGAAGCGGCAGGGCGTTGGGTCAGGGAAGCAAGGGAAGCTCCTGAAAAGCTGGGGTTGTGCTTGTTTAGATGGTCCCATGGATAAACAATCCTGCCTCGATTTGGGAGTTACTGATCAGTAAATCCAATATACGAGTCTTTAAAGAGCAAGTATTATATGTAAACAATTGAACTGCAACCCTGTGTCACTCTGTGTCTATGGTTGATCGACGATCCCGTCAGATTCCTACAAGTTCGCCCACGTGTCAGACTGAACAAACCAACCCCTTCTCCAAGAAGTCAACCTTCTCTCAAGTCAAAGGTTCCTGAACGTCATCTTTCGGGGGCCATGTGGCTATGTAGGGCAATGTAGGGCTCAATTGGGGTCCTTCCTCTTCCACAAAGCCACAGGATGCCCACAGATGTTAGGTGGGAACAAAAGATCATCAATCATCAACAATAGGACAGAACATATTGGCCGATCAGTTGGGGTGATTTGAAAGTGTTAAAGGATCTTAAGGGTTTCATTCCATCTAGGTGAAAACTTCCATCCACCACCCTCCAAGGGAGGTTCGTCTTCAACAGCCCCTTAGAGAGTTCGTTGGGGTCTCGATTCTATAACCACCCCCCACAGTGGGTGGCATTGTCTGGGATCCACGGTGCAGAGAAGCTGCATCCGCCTCCATCGACTTGGTCCGGATCACCGTCTCCTCCGCGACACACCACCAAGTGTTCTTCGGAGTGAAGTTGTTTGCGACATACAGTATGGCATGTTAGGTAGGATTGAGTCATGACATGATGTTTTCTTGTTGGATGCATATATATCATGTATATATGATTGTAATTCATTATATATTATTTGACTATACTTGCATTCACCTGACTATGTTTGATCTTTTGGAACTTGGAATGAACTTTGAATATACCAGCTGTCTACTGCACACATGTTGCAATGAACCCGTCTTGACTATAGAAAACATCATGCGTTTCCCAGACACTCTATGCATGGTATATTTACCTACATGGGGGTGGTTTGGGGTCAATGTAGGCATATATGGCAGTCCCATGGAGTGTCTGGGATTAGACATGAGGGCACTATACTTAGGGGCACTGCCTGCGGTTCACCAACCACCCGCGTCCAGTGTCCCGAGCGGAGCGGCTGGTCAACAACGAACCCATCGGCTGGTCGACACATGGAACCGCCACCGGCCACACGGCGCACGGGGTTTTCCCAACGACACGATGAGCGTCTACTTGTGGGATGATGTGAGAGATGATGCGAACTTCGTATACACTGCCAATTGGAATCCATGCGTCACTACTGGAACCACTCTGCTCTATATATACAGAATCTACATACTGGAAGCACTTTACTGCTGGAACCACATAGATTCTACAGAATCTGATTCTATATACAGCTATAGTCACTCTTTCACTGGTCGTTGGATGTCTTGCGAACTTCGAGTTCCGAGTTCATTGTTCGAGTCGGTGGAGTTCTCCACACCCGACAAGTCTCGGGTGAAGATGCTGGCGGAGGGGAGGGTGCTAGGTGGAGGTGGAGGGAACAGGATGGAATCGAGGGTGGCCAGTTTCCGCGACAAAAACAGAAAATCCTTTCCACGACACAGCTGTTGAATCCAGCACAACAGTGGACTTGCCCAGCTTCTTGCGACACCAGGCCAAAATGCATGTCACATGTTTGCTATCTACAGGCGGACTGCCCATTCGAAGAATGACACCACGCGGTGTCACCGAGAGACCATCCTCCAACAAAGAATCTGCAGCAGCCTGTATTCGCCGTCGGTCATCCACAGTGAAGCTAGCCTGACTATGTGTGGACAGCTCCCGTGTTTTCCGAGCCTCGCCGTGGCAGTGGCCAGCTTGCCCGGCACGAAGGCTGATCGAATTGCCCCCACCCTCCACTTCAAACCTGAAGACCTTTCCTTGCTGAGCACAGCAACCTGCGCGCTGCGTCGAAAAGCCCCTGATCACCTCTCCATGGGCAAAAGCCCAATGTCTGGCAGCTGGCCGCAAAATGTCAGCCAGACTCTCACCTGGCATCTTTTCGATCTGAGCTACATCGATATCATACTCATATGTTAACCTCCTCCGCTTCGGCGAGGAATCATCCATGCGCGTGGTGCTAAAGAACCAGTTCTGTCTCCCAAACAAACACGTTATGAACAAAGTTAGTGTGTCTGGTGCTAGAAACCAGTTCTGTAGTGTCTGGTGCCAGAAAGCAAGCCTGGAGCCTGAATCTGGTTATGGACAAACCTGGGCCAGTTCTGTATCCCAAAGTTGGTTTTTGAACAAGGCCAGTGTGTCCGGTAGCTTGTGGTGTGTTTGGTGCTAGCAAGCAGTTCTGTATCCCGAAACTGTGTTTTTGGATGAAGCTGTTTTTTGCGCAAACCTGCTACGTTTGGTGCTAGAAAGCAGTTCTCTATCCCGAAACTGTTTTTGGAGACAAAGCTGGTGTGTGTGTGTGTGTATGGGGTGCTAGAAACTAGCTGTGAAGCGTAAACCAAAAAACACTTTCAAATAAGCAAACTGGTTTCCAGGTTTGCCCAAGACATACATGTGCATCTACACGCTTGTCGTGATGCCAGTGATGCCACTCAATTCCAGTCAAAGTAATATATTATCCTTCTCGTTGTCAATATTTTACGATCGTGGTTAGAAGACCCCCTAGGATGGAATCATGTTGACTCATTAACTAACCCTAGGGCTCCAAGCACCTTCTAAGAAGATGTTTGGGATGGGTGCCAGGAGGGTCCAAATACCTTCTGTTCATAGATGATTGGTGTCACAGCTCCTGCTTCACCAGCTTTGGCTGCTTTTCTGCCATGTCAGCCTCGGACGTGTCGGACAACTGGGAGACTCATTGCACGGCATGATGTTCATGAAGTCTCTGACCTACCGTGCCTTTTCCAACTCAGGAAATCATGCATCTTCCGGACCTTTGCACAATGACCCCTACGTTAGATAGGGCCCTTGGGGGGCCCCCTCGTTAGACAGGGCCCCCTCAGCACATCCTCTGCTTGCCTCTCCAAAACCGTTTTGCTTCGTGTCTTCGCTTCGAGGCCCCGGGCGTGCGGTCCTCGGCAGCACGCAAGGTTGGACAGCAGCATCACGACGCTTCGATGCCGCCTCCGCCCAACGGCACGGCCGGGGGGAGTCTCGGTGGACCGATCTCTGGAAGAGTTCTGTCAATGAAAGAAAATGAACCGGTCATGATTGCCCAGCAAAAATCAGGGGGGATTAGACGCTGTGATGTCCACAAACCTGAGAACCACGCCCGGTTTGTAGGAAATCGTCTTCCAGTCAGGTCATCAAAGGTCCATTAATGGACCTGGTTCCATGTGAATGTTCCGGGGTGTATCTGATACATTCTGATGCGAAGTGTTCACTTTGATTCAGTTGGTCTCTGATCTCTAGTGTTTCAATAAACTCAGTCTCGGTTGACGCCGTTGACAACTTCACGTTTTTGGGAAACACCCCAGAAAGCACCAAACAGCCCAGGTGATAAATTCCAGGTGCCAGGCCAGTCCTTCCCGGCGGTGCTCCGGGTCCGCCTTGTTGGTGTCGTCTTTCTCGGTCTCTCTTGGCACCAACACTTGAGCCGAAACGAAGCGGCGAGGTCGATGAGCCTAGATGAGCACTCTGATGAGCCTATGCTGAAGCACCCCAGTTCCTGGTGGGGGTCCAAAAGCAAATGAGGAATCCTGGGGTTAAAAGAACACCAACCTACCAGTCCAAGGAGTAGAACCTGGCCGGAATGACTTCATTGAGTTGTCATGTGGTTCTGCTCATGCTTAAATGTTAATCGGAGTTACTAAGGCTCTTGTCATGTCCGCAACCAAGGCAGCCAAAGGCCCTGCACTGTACACTGACTGACACACTTCAAGGGGCACATCTTGCTGTCACAATCTACTGTACAGCAAAATCTTCTTATATTCATTGACATTCTCTATTACTTTACTTGAAATTTGATGGAATAAGACACTTCCCAATACATGTATCAGTGGAACAACTGTTGTATGAACTACACGGTCAACATGGCAATTGCATTGAAGTACTGACCACGATAAACAAACCTCCATGTCTGCACTCCATCCTAGAAGTGACCAATCATCAACTTGTCCTCAAACCCCCAAACCAAAGCTACAGTGCTTGACATGTTTTCCTCTCCCAACTCACTGACTCGATGTTTTTCGTTTTTTCATGCGCCCGTCCGGTGGCATCTAGTGGCGTCTCCCGTCCCATCCCCGGACCCAAAGCCCCAAGAATTGGGTGCCCAATCCTTCTCTGCCGTCGCCTCAACGAAGCGGCGAGGCGAAAGAGCAGAGCAAGGTGGGAGGTGCTGAAGAAAAATCCACAGCCCCTTAGCTGTGATTCGGGGTGTCCATTAACCACCCCGACTGGGGGTCCTGGCATGGACGGTGGCACGAGTTTTTGAGGTCGGGAACTTCTTCAAAAGAATCCCGGCGGAAGGACATATCATCCTGCGGTGAATTAGGGGTCATTCGTGGGTCGTCCATGAGGCCTTTGTTTGAGATGTCACGTCGTCGACACTCGACACCCAGCAGAGGCCCAAATCATCATCCAACATGCTTTCATCGAAATAGGCCCCGGTTTTGGGGGGGGCCAAGGGGCCACATATATATATAATATATGCATCAAGCTACCATGTTGGCGGCTCCAAATTTTGAGACAGCTGGCCACATGAATGCAACAAACGTCAAAGAAATAAGCTCGCAGCCTCGACAAAGTCGGGCAGGCTTCGCCCGGATTTGCGGGCATGACATATGACAAGAGCAAGATCAGAAACAAGCTGTATTATTGTATTAATTAATATATACTGTACATTATCCGCACATTCTTCAATATTCTTCAGTATTCAGTCTCTCTTTCTCTCTTTCTCTCTCTCTCTCTCTCTCTCTCTGTCTCTCTTTTGGGGGTTTGGTAAACAAATCGCGTATCATGGCGTCCCATGAATGGCACCAAAGTGGGAGCTGGTCCCAAAAGTTTGGAACTTAGACTTATAAGTGTGGGAATTATATGGAATCATATCCTGAGTCGAGCTGACCATGTTCGACCCCCCAGTCGACATCGCGCCAGGGTCCTCTTCATCTTCCGTTTTCACCCGCCGGGACCGCGGCCCCACCGCGGACGGACGACCGGGCACGGACCCGGAACACGCCGGAACTCGGGACTCTGCGCCGAGGTCTGGTGGTTTTGGTATCGGAGCACGGTCGTTTGGGCATGGCGGGTCTTGGAAGTTAGCTCAAGAGCTCAAGAGCTTGCTTCGGACCTTCAACCAGTGCTCACCCAGTGCTGCGTGCTGAAGAATTATGGGAAGAGAATCCTGAAGTCTGACTGTGAAGCATCCCAACTTGGAATCCTTGGAAACTCCGGACCACTCAGTCGATTCCATGTGCAGAACAGGGGAATCGACTGTAAGGGGATATTCCGGCTGAAGCCCATCCAGTCGGCGTTGTAAGGTACCGGCAGAAACAATAAGTAGCAGAGCCAACATCGGGCTCACCTGGCGCATCAAAGCCAACATCGGAAACAGCGATCTTTTTGGAAGTGTTCTCTGTGTCACTACACTCACTGGAACGAATTAACATGGAAGTGGATGGCATGGCCCTTGGAAGACGAGTTGTCCACTATCTTGTTAGTTCCAGGGAGATTAGGCCCTATGATGCCCTATGTCCTATGATGCCTGATGGACAATCCCATCTGTATACCCATTGCCAGTCCGACGTCCGACGTCGTGTGCAAGTTCTTGTTAAACGTCTCAGGTGCGTTCTCTTTTTTGCGCTTGGTTTCATGCAGAAAAGCGTGTCACACCGAGTTCGTGAAGAGCACACATCTCTTGGAAGGTCCTGTAAACAGCGTCAATCCTAAGAATTATTTTCGGCACCAAAAGAGAAGGACAGTCCAGTCAAAAGCGCAAACCAACAAATGTTCCCAACCGCATTGTTTTCCGATATGGGTTGGTTCAAAAGGAGTGCAATGTCTTAGAAGACCTCGTCTTGGTCCTCAAAGGTCTGGCTGCCAGTCGGACCTATAGCGACTGGCTTAGCCCGCGCCCGAGATAAACATTGAAGAACCCTAGTACGACTATCCCAGTTCGGTACCCCAGCTAACGGGTCCTAGTTCAGGTCACAAAACACCTCTGTTGGTTTGGTTTGTAAAGAAATAGAGCCGCCCATGACAGGCCATGGCATCCACTTCCATGTCAGTCACTCGACCAAGGAGTGATGCTTTTCGTGTTGGAAAGTAACCCCCACCTGACTCCACCCATGACCCAACCGAGAGAGAGGGTGTTTGGCTGGATGAGTTCCAGGACTCCTGGGACTCCTGAACATGCATGTGGAGAAAAGAACACAGGGCTCATAGTTTGGGATAACTCACTGGATGACTCTAACATACTCTAACCCCTCCTGCCCTCAAATCCCCTGGGACTGCGGGATGGGGGGGCAGGTAGGAGAGTGGGCGGTCTTCTTCTCCCTCCAAGATCGCTCGACCATTCGCCTGGCAGCACGCCATATAAGCTTTGCTTGGTGAGATCGAAACGGCTTCCGGAACGTCGAAGAAAAGGGGGCGGGGATGCCGTGCCTTTCTGAATGTTCACGTTGTGTTGTTTTTTCTCCATCATGTAGCATAGTAATAGTTGAACAAGAAAAACAGTGGAACTGTGCAGGCTTGGGGTGGAAGAAGACCGGTCCCAGTTCTCAAACTTGGCCCATGCCGTGCTTCGTTCGCGCTGAATGGGACTGCTCCGAACCAAGCTGGCAGCGGCTGAGGCGTCAGGCCAAGCACCAAAGAGACTCCAGTCGCAGGACGGGCTCACAGAACCTTTTGTAACATATTGTAACTCCCAATAAACTCTCCATGGGACTGTGGACTGCCATATATATATATCCAATATGCCGATCAATTGACACTCAAAACTACCCCAGGCCGTTTCTCGGCCGTCCGGACTGGCAGTCCCAATATGGAGTGCCTGGGACTCGCTCACCAAAATCTCCTGTCTTCTTTCGAACCTGTGTTCTGAGAACCTGTGTCTGTGTGTGTGTTTTTAATAAAACATATTAAAGTGGCTCACATCATTGCTGTCATCCTTTTTGGATCTTCTTGTGCTTCCACCCACCAAAACACCGGTGTGAACACGGAAGCGCAGTGTGAACACATTCATTGAGAGGGAGTTCTTTAGACTGTTGCCGTTGCCGTCTGAGGGATGGATTTTTAAAAATGTATAATATGTATTTACAATTATTTACCACAACCCATCGATTGAGCATGCTTAAGCCTGTTGGTTTGGTGAGGTTCCCCATGTTCATCGATTGACAAACATTGGAGACGCTTCACCAGCCAGCCGCCGGTGAACACGTATCATCTGAGACAATCTGTAGGGCTCCAACTACCTCCATTTCGAAGGTATTGGGAGTGGGGTTGTAGGGCCTGGAGCACCGCTGAAGCCTCGACATTGAGCTTTCCATGTGGGCACCATGACAGGACACCAAGTTCCACCGCATTAAGTCACCACCACCAGCAGCAGCAGCAGGACCATCCTTGCGCTGCCGGCCCTCTCTCCTCTTTTTCCTCTGGCGAATCGGCCGATGGACCCATGGCAACTTGCACGGAACCGAGCTACCCATTGATGCAAACACGTGGTTGCAACTCCAAAGGATGAGGCCGCACACCAAACATGGCACCCTTCAGCAGTCCTGTATGAATCACCAAAAAGATGAACCTGGATGAACACTTCTCACCTGGCTTGCACTTACTTAACCTAGAATGCCAGAAACAAACATACCCTGCCACTACAGGAGCTGGGGAGCTGGCATGGACCCAATGTCCACGAAGTGCGGTCCAACAATTTTCAATCACATCATTGGTGGCAGCTCCTTTTTGATGGTTGCTACCGCAAGTCCCCGGTTTCACCGTGAGGCGACTGGGGGTGTGGGTATAGCGATGGTGGTGGTCACCCAGCGCGCGCAGTCAGACAAGCCAAAGCACTGGATTCGCCCTTTTTGTCATCTTGGACAATACAACAACACCGTATCTTCTTTGCTGACGCCATCAGAAACTTGCACTTCCAAACTAGGCTCAAGTGGCAATTAATTTATGATCAAACCAATGAGTATCACTGGAAACTCGTTGGGAACTCCATGCTAGACTACCAAAGGTCTACAAACACCTCCAACGCACCAGTCTTACCTTATGCTTGGACATGACAAGACTTACCAAAAACCAAACATACGTTTCTTGCTATAATATGCAATTTGGTAACTTGCTATAAGCAATTTGGTAATTTGGTCGTTTAACCCATTACACGCTATAGGAATATGTTGAACAAAGAACGCTCGGTGTAAAATCCTTAAACATATATGATTTCTTGATGTTCGTTGTTGTTCCTTGTCGGGGTCACTGATTTCTGACTGATCTCTGACTGATCATGACCCGTTATACCCACACCCCGATCGAGGACCCACACCCCGACGGACCCGGAGTTCTTTTGACTCCGCACCGCCGTGCAACACGAACCGTGGTCGCAAACACCGCAGCCGCGCGAGGAAAAAAAGGGGCGCGGTCCGTTGCGGTCCACGTCGCGGTCCA